AGTTGAAGTCCACTCATCTTAAAGTGGCCAAGTTTGGACAACACTGTCTTAGAAGCTGCAGGCTTAACAGGTTGTCAGTTTCCTTCAAAATGTGGAAAACTTCAGCCCAAAAAGAATGGTCACAGTCAACAGTATGGCTTAAAGGCTGGAAGGACCATTTCCTTTTATACACAGCATTATTTGAAATTTTCTATACCAAGAAAAGACATACACTGAGATAGAAGAAAATAAACCACAATAAATGACAGGAAAAATTTATAAAAGTATCAGTGGCACTGATTTATGAAGGGTAAATAAATATCCAGGCATGAAGAAGTTCTCCCCATATATCCAAAGTCTATCCAGAGTACTTCAGGTCCTTTCCATACAAAATTTCAAGCAGCATTTTTGTAACTCAGTTTCAAAGGTGAACATAAATTTATGCTGTTCCTTTCCATTGCTGACATGTTTCCTTTGTATAATATTTATAGTTATTTGTTATAAATAGCAAAAAATGATGAAGGCTCACATGAGTAAAGCCTCTTAGTGATCTGTCCTATTAGATTAATTTTGTCTGAAGATAAAATCATAATAAAACAAAGAAAAATGAAAAGAATGGAGTCTTATGAGGAAGCCAGTTGTATAATGGTTAAAGTGTGGTTTAGGACCAAAAAATACCAGGTTCAAAATTATCCTCTGTCATAGAAGCTCATAAAATGATTTTGGGCCAGATGATCTCTTAGACCAACTTACATTACAAGGTGGTTATTATGGGGAAACTTTGAAGGAGGCAGTGGTGTGTATGCCACTTGGGAAACAGAATAAATCTAACAACTAAACCAAATAAATAAATGATTTAACATAGAGTACCCAGGTCTTCAGCTACAGATCTACAGCTACTATCAGTTCCAGCCAGCAAGGTCAATACTAGTAATCCAAAACATCTAGAAGGCATTAGATGTAAAAACCATAATCTAACAACTAAGCACCATGTTTAATATCACTCATGGGCAGAAATGGATGTTCTTTGGAGAAGGATATATCCTTGTTCAGTTTCTGAACACTAATATTTCTGTTGCATTCTGCTCAAGTGTTTTAAATCTAGTCAATTGTGGGTGATCTCTTTTTCATCCAACTTATACAAAGTGCAATAATAGGTTGCATGTGGGCTAATAAAGTAAGAGCTAACAAGATTCAAGATGACCTATCAGCTCACTATCCACCAGCAGAAGAGATGAATTGGGAGCGGATGCCTTGTTCTGCAACAGAGTTCCACCCCTCCTGAACAATAGCATCTGCAGTTTGGGTGTGGTTGTAAACCTGGCCTTGCTCCTGATGTCCATAACTAGGGAAAATAGTCACCATGTGATTAGGTACACTGCTTAATTCTGATTTCTAAGCATGGAGAGGCTTTTTACACACATTCAAGTGAACACAAGTAGAAACTCCCTTCAGAACATCCCTCTTAACACAAGAAAGAAGGCAGGAATATTGACTGTGAAGGTTGAGTGAACTCACATACCCACTTCCCAATTTTAGCCTTCTCATAAGTAGAAGCCTTCCATTGAGACTTGCTTATAGTCAGCCGGTGATATCACAAAGCACATGTTCTGTAGATGTCCAACTTGAAAATTCCAGTCATGGGCCAGCATTGAAGCATATGCAGGTATTCAGCCTCTCACATCATCCATCTCATACTAGCAACTCTAGCACAAGTTCTCTCAGGTACTATCAGCAGTGTCAAAGGAGAGTTTGTATAACATCCATCAGTTCCAGGATGCGCTTCATCAAGTCCTTGCCCTTGTCAGACATGCTGCTAGTTTTTCTCCTATCTCAATCCCCCTTCCCCTCTTGTCTCTACCCCAGACTGCAGGATCACTCAAGTATATGCTAATTAACTGTGATAGCTGCCTCCCCCTTCTTGTCATAACTGTTCTCAATGGATTTCAAACATATTAATCCTTTGGTAAAAGTTGCCACTTAACATAATACTCTGTTCATTAGAGCTAAAGGAGGGCTTCTTGTGGTATGGTGCAGCTTAGTACCACAAGAGTAACAGCCAGTAGTGCATCAACAAGCCAGACTCTCAAATACTATCCTCTTCTCTCCCCAGCTGCTAGCAGAGAGAAAAGATGTGCTTGCACAAAGCCATAGGACCTAAAAGGGAAAAGCTAAGAGGAAATTGTTGGGGAAAAGGCTTAACCTACCTGGGGAAAGAAAATAATGACTCTTATGACAAAGAACCTGCATGAGCCGGTCTAAAAACTCCACTGACTTTGGACTGTAATGCACAACCCAGATGCAATTTCCAAATGTAGCAAAATGCAGACATGACCACTGAAAAAGGCATGGTCTGCTTTTCTCTGAATGTGTGTGAGGCAGAGGTGGATTACAGTTTATGCACTGGGTGCTGTTCAAGATGACACTTCAGTAATAGAATACAGTATCAGTGTCCTCACCAGTCAAGAAGGAGGGAGGGAGGGAGAGATGAACAGACAGATCACATACTTATACATATATGGACACATACAATAATGAGTTATGGAAGAATTACACACATACATGTATGTGTGTGTGCTTGTATGTGTGTGTGTGTACACACACACACACACACACCCAATGGATTTTCACTCTATTACATCAAAGGAGAAATAAACTTCACTGACTAACAGTGAGTTATGAGAAAAACACAACTGATTTGATTTTGTTAGCCTTTTTAACTTGTCCATCCCTATAACACTTTTAAAATGTTTTCTTTAAAAAAGTTCAAATATAACCTTGACTTCAAAATTAAACACATAAGTCTTTTTTCATTCATAAATAATAAGGACTTACCTTTTCTTAAAAAAAAATCCTTGTAAAGCCATACCTTTATCAGGCTAACTCAAAGGTCACATAATTTGTACAAAATGTTCTTACCAAATAAAGTAGCAAAAATGTGAGAGGAGAGAAAATACATTCAAATAAGCTCCCCTAAGTATTGTGACGGTTTCAGGTTGCATCACAGACTTTTCTTAAAGAGCTGTGATAAACAAGCAGACAATAGAAAATATAGAATCTAATTGACCCTCAGAGTCTAATTTGATTAGGATGGATGGTGTTGAACTTTTCACACTTGATTTCTCTGACCAACGGCTAAACCGAAAGCAAAAGCTGAGGACTCTTCCTCATGGCTGTGTTAATGGGCATTCCTCCAGTTCTTGTGTCAGCAGAGGGCTATACTGGCATATGTTTTGCTGTCCCAATTGCTAAGCCCTAGTCTTCCTCGGTATCAAGGTCCCTGAGTGGTGCTGTCCTTATACATTTAATGTGGGACAAGCAAAGAAAACTGACTGGTGGATTCCCCCAGCTTCATTTCCCCTCCCACAAGCATTAGTTGCTGGTGGGAAAAACAGCTATCAATCGCTCTCCTTGATATGTGGGGAACAGGGTTGGATGAGTGTAGGTGGGTGCCTGGGGTGGAGGATTTAATCATCTGTCAAGTGGCAGCTCACAGGAGCAGAAATGTCCCATGCCGGTGATCTGTCAATTGGGCTATTTTTGAGCTCAGGTCTAGCAGTTCCTAACATTTAACCCTCTTCTAGAAGTGTGCTAGATCTTTGTCCAAAACTTAGCCCAAATGATACATTATAAGCAAAACAGAGAGATTGTGAGAAACATCAGGGATGCTCCCTTCCGCTTCACCCAGCACCCATCCTTTGTTGGTCAGACTATTCCTGAAGAATTTTATTTTCCTACTCCTGGTAGACCTAAATAAATACCTCTGCAAGAAATGGAGTCAAGCCACAGCCCTGTCTAATGCAAACAACATCAAGAGGTGCAGAAGTCTCTAAGATACTTGGGTGAAGACCTTCTGAACTCTGCTACCTAACATCCCTTTAATCTGCCATATTTAGAGTAAATTTAGAACCTAGTGATGCTTGTGTCTCTTCATGATATAACTCCATTGGTGCAAACCATACCCAAAGAGCAAAATCTAAGATGTTCAGACACAAATTCATGTAGCTAGTATAGAAAAATGCCACACAAGCACTATAAATATGTTTCTACCTCTCCTACATCCATTCTGTGCACAAAATGTCCAGTCCTTCTGCAGCCATACTGCAGTGGAATCCAAAAATACAAACAGGGCTGAATTATGCCTAATTATATCCCATTCCGTTTTCTGTTACTGAAACATTCACTTCAGAACAGAAGCCTCATGTTTAGCAGCTGATGTACCAGCAAAGGAAACACTATAACAAATTGACAGAGAACTGACCAACAAGAAAAGATTATATCAAGGCGGTAAATTTACAGCCTATCTTTCAAAGTTATAAAAATGCTCTTAGACTACGTGGAAATTACTCATGTGAAACCCGTCAAGTTATTCTTTCTTTCCCATTACTGACAAAGACTATTAATCTTCTCCCTCAGTTCAGAGCCCATTCTGCATTTGTCTCTCAATGAGCAGACAAGGCACTCTATCTTGTCAAGATAATTACATATTTTTAAAAGAAGGTTGTAATAGACTTTAGTCCTGAGCTAAAATCCTCTGGGAATTTCCTTCCAGCATTTTGTTATTGAGGGCACCAGTTTTTCATAAAAGGGAATATTTTTCCATAACATTAAAAATGTGTGTGTTGTCATTTTAACCATTGGTACATGTCTGACTCTCAGTATGGGGCCTTCTCAGCTTCAGATTTGT